TACAAGCAACTACATGCATGCATACATTGGCAACACTTAGTGGACTGGCTGGGTTAAAAATGCTGTAATGGTAATGGGATGTGGCTGGAGGGTGTATCAGAGGAGTTGGATAGGGCAATAATTTAAGGGGTAGATTTGACCCAAACTCATTCTATATGCATATAAAACCCACAGCATTTAATTTAAAAGGGAATTTTACTCACAGACATATTCAGAAGTTTGTTTTCATGGGGAGTCTATAACTAATCTGGTTGACAATCAAACAGCTATCATAATTAGTAAATGACCTACCTGAAAAAATATTTTTTTTATGAGTCACTATTAAGATCTTCTTAAATAAATGCTTTCTGTAATACTTTGAGTATGTAAAATTTCAAGTCATTCAAAGAAGAAAAAATGTAACTCATAATGCGAATATTAAAAATGGAAACTCTGGACTGTTTCCTGCGAACTGGAGATCCGAGGAGAGCATTTTCTGTAGTTCTTCATTATTACTTGTACAGCTTATTTCAGCTGACTTATTTCAAAACTCCTTTTTCTTTTGAATATCTGGCACTAGCACAGCTCTTTCACATTTACTTCTGACTTTACTGCTCAATAACGATCACAAATTCTGTCTTTGCTGTGGTCTAAGGTAAAGAATTTCCTGGGGAGACTTCCCTGGCTTCTGCTCACTGAACAACATGCTACATCTGAGCAACATTCACAATGACATTGCTAGTGAAGGAGTTGTAAAATCCTCTTATTTCAGAGCTGTACTGTTCAACCTTACATTTACGATTTTGGATTCCACTATTGTTCCCTGAATTTATTTTTGTTTTGTTTAAATTTTTTCTTTCCCCAAAGGACAAACAATGTTGTACATTCTGTTTCCCCATGTGTAGTTGGCAAATACTATGGAATAACTTCATCTAATTTGGTTTCTTACCCACAAGTTGTTTGAGCTGTATCCTCCCAGGCACATATGTCAGGAGGTGGTTATGAGATCACTAACACATAGAAAGAAGTCAAGGGCTACTCAAGGATTATTATTTAAATAGTCCTTTCAGTGTATAAGTTTTCCAGGGAATTATTTTATTTCTTACTCATAATAAATTTTAAAAGGCAATAGAATTAGAAATGATAATATTGTTCACATTTTTAAGAAAAAGAAATCAGATCATAAGTGTAAAAAAAGTTGGCTACAACTTTCTTACAGGGGTAACATGAAGATTTAGATTCCAGTATTTGTCTACAGTATTGGAAACTTCTCTATTTAACATACACACACATAATAAATTAGAAATAATAGGAAAATATTAAAGAGGTAACTGATTACTGAAGAGGTTAACAGATGTAAATACAAAATAATCCACAATCTAACATACCATTGAATGAAATGAGTTAAAAAAATGAATAAATGCCCAGGTCTCAATTAATGTTCTCACACAATGTTTGTACTTGCTTACAGAGACCTTGACAACTGCTAAACATATATAAAATATCTATCATAAGGGAATACACTTAAAGATCCGTTATATCTATTCTTTTGGTGATAAATATGGAACTGTGGACTAAAGCTTTTAGCTGGTATGGCAGTCTTTAAATTTTCCCATTTGCTCCATTATATAGAATGGTTTTGTCTTTTGGGTTCTATGTTTTCTTATTCAATGTCTCATCCTGGACATATGGATATTATTATTTTGTGTTCCTTTGTAAGAATTTAAGTCCCTTTTTATATTGAGAATGGCTTTGCCATTTCTTTGATCATGTGTAATATTTTACATTGGGTGTTATGCAAATTTAAAACAAATTTTATTTGTTTTTCCTTAAAGAAAAAAGAAAATTGTATATTCCATTTCCCCATAGTAGTTGCCAGATACTGCATACTAACTCCACTTAGGCTGATTTTTTTTTTAAGCTATGAGTTGTTTGAGTCATATCCTCTCAAGCATATTAGTCAGGAGGTTCTTAGGAGGTGATCAAGCGGCAGAATTCTTGCATTACTAGCATCTTTCTAATAACTTCCAGTGTTATACCTTCCTGAGATCTGTCTTCTGGTTCTTCAGTCTTCAAATATGGCAGTTTTCTATGAGATGTACAGTCACTACCAAACCATAAACAAAGTGAACATCACGTTTTACCGGTATAGATCTCTACTCTCACACCACCCATCTCCTTTAAGTAAAGTCATCCCCATGAAATTTATCTTTGTCATCAATGGGAAGATCAATCTGCTAAAGATTACTTGGGCATACTGGAAGTAAAATTATTCATATTTCACTTTTAAATTCCCACTACAGAGTACATAATCCTTTTTCTCTGTTGGAACTGAAAGATATATGCTTATAGGTATGATTTATATGTACTTTAGGAGAATATAATTCATTTTTCAAAGCAAACCCAGTAATTATTTGAAAGTATAAAATATGTAATAAGGTTTTCTATTGAAATGAAAGCCTTTTTGGATGTAACTTTTGGATTCGAGTCAAATATATGTCTTAGAATGCATTTAGAAACCATTAAGAATACCGAGTGATAAAAAATAGAAAAATTGTAGCAGCATATTATTAGTCTTAGTAATTAGTGTCCTTCTCTTGCTGGTTATTTAAATATTCATAAGGGATGATTCACCTTTAAGGCATTAAACTATGTGGGTTTATAAGGATAGACTTTTTCCTTTGCTCTATGTCTGTGATATTCAGCAAAAATTCCATCTCTTATGCTTGTTAGATCTAGGAGGAGCGTGTGATCTAAATCTGAGAAAACTGTAATAGGGAAATGCTGGGGAACTCTAGGATTAAACAATCACCCTGTTCCCTGCTGATTGTGTACTCTGATGTGCTGATCCGATGTATAGTGGGAAATTATTCAGGCATTTGTTCACTATTAGAGAGAATACCTGAGAATGAAGCAGGGAAGCCAGGGAGATGATGGGAAGATAGCTAGAAGCTCATTCTTAGAAAGTTCACTCCACATTTCCAAAGAGCATGCACACTATATTACCCTCTCCTCCCTTTCACATTCCCTGTAGAATGCATCTATTGCAGATGCTTTGTTTTGCTAAAAAAGGTTGAGGTTTTCTTTGGCTGCTACAAGCAACATATCTTGTTGCAATGGGATCAAGTTGTTTACTTAAGAGGTAAAGGTAGCCATATTGTAACCTGTTGTGCTGTAGTTTTATGTACTCAACTGAACTTCTGACATTTACAAGTCTCTTAAAAAAATGGAAAGACAATTGTTTTCCATCTTCCAATATATTTTTTCATGTTACTTATAGTCTGTCTCCTTTTCAGGAGCTATTGCCTTCCAACAAGACACGGCACCCACCACTGTAAAGTACAATTGCAGTTGCGGCCTGTGGAACACCTTAGCTTTCAGATATGTCACTTAAATAAACAGAACAATACAGTCCACCAGGATGGAGGCTATAAATATTGCTTTGTAGGAAAAGAGTGGACAGGGCCTCACCTGGCATTTTGGTCATAACTCTGTCACAAGGTAAATATGGTTGTGGTTTTTTGCATAAAATGCCCTGCATTGGCTCTTATTTTTAAGCTATGGTCCCCAGTGAGTGGTGCTGTCTGGAGAATTTTAGGAAACAGAAACTTGTTGGAAGGTATATGTTACTGGAAGTGGCCTTTGGGAGATTAAATGGTTCTGCCACTTCTTGTTTACTTTCTCTGGGATTTCTCTGTGGTTCTGCTGCTGCTGCTATTATCATGCCTGCAGTGACACACTATTAACCCTCAGTCACTGTAACCCAAACAAATTATTTCTTCAGAAAGTTGCCTTGGTCATTGCATTTTATCACAGCAATAGGAAAGTGACTAATGTATGGTCTTTGGTGTGGCTAAATATAAAGGAAGGGGAAGGTTGACTGACTACTGGAACCCATAACCAATGTTAATTGCTTTGTAGCAGTGATGTTCAACACTTGTACAAAGCTTTGTAGTGAGTCAAAGTGCCTTCGCTTTACCAACAGTCTAATATGAAACTTTTCAATGTACTCCTCTAAGTATACTCAGTAAATTCATTGATTCACCAAGTTTTGCAAAGACAAGTTTAATTTCTGTGTCTATTGGCTTTTCCACATTGCTACTCAGGTCTCCAGACCATTGGACATTATTTGTGACAATCAGCCACCATGCTTCTCCCATGTAGTTAATCTTTTCTGGAACTACCCTCAGGGTCATGTAGATAAGTACACTTCCATTTCACTATAAAAACAATTAATACTTAATTATATTGTTACTAGTTAGAATTACAATTTTTAGTACAGAGAGTGATGAGTGATGAACAACTGTTCATTGAATTAGGCTGAGAGATGGCTCAGTACTTCAAGGTACTTACTGCTCCTCAAGAAATCCTGAATTGAATTCCCAGAGACCAAGTTGTATGGGACACAACGTACTGTAACCCCAGTTCCAGAAGACCACTACCTGCTATTAGCCTCCAAAGGTACCTCCACACATGTAACACAGACCCAGCCACAAACATACACAGGATAAAATTAAACACTTTACATATGATCATTGAAGAAAAATATAATTGTGAATGTATTATATTCCATTTAGTCACTTATTATTTAATGTGAATACTGAAATCAAGGTTTTCTATTAAACTTGTCATAGTTGCTCTGTATCAGAAATCTCAGATATATAATCTCAAGAATCTGGGACTTCTGTTGCCATTATTTGTTATGAAAAACAAATATTTCAACATCTAAAACCTTCTCATCTATCTGAAAATGGAATTTCACTTATATAATTTTCTAACTCCCCCCTCCCGCCATGTGTATGTGTGTGTGTGTGTGAGTGTGTGTGTGTGTGTGTGTGTGTGTGTGTGTGTGTGTGTGTGTTTGGAGAACAAACACAGAACAAAGCACACACTAGGCAAACGCTGTCCACTGTGGAAAATCTTAATTTTGTATCTTCTTTTTTTTTTCTTTCCTTTTGAAAACCTTATGATACTTTTGTCATTTATTTAAAATCTTTTTTTTCTCATAATAGATTTATGGTTTCCCCTTCCTCTACTCCTCCTCATTTCTCCCCACTTTCCACATGTCCAAATTTACCTGCTTTCTGCATCTCATTAGAAAACAAATAGGCTTCTAAGAGCTAATAATACAATAAAATAGCCTAGATAAAACAAAAACTAACACATCATAATAGTACAAAATAAACAAACAGAAGGAAAATAGCCCAAGGAAATATGCACAAGAAACAGGTATAGACACAAATACCCACTCATTTACACACTCAAGAATCCCATAAAGCCACCAAACTGGAAGCCATAATATATGTTCAAATGATCTGTAGGTAAAAGGAGAGGAAAATAATATATGTACATAAAACAAATTAAAAAGAAGTAAAAACCATAAGAAAAATAATAAAAAATAGAACATGACATTATGAGATCCTTAAGAGTAGTTTGTTAGACCATTGAGACTTCCATGCAAAATACTAAATTTTCATTTGCAAGTGGCCATTGATTAGAGATAGCTTCTGTTTTGCTGCTGTTGTTGTTGTTGCTTGTGTGTGTGTGTGTGTGTGTGTGTGTGTGTGTGTGTGTGTGGTGTGTGTGTGTTTGTATGCATGTGTGTGTTGTTTTTAGTGACAGGGTTTTGCTGTGTAGCCTTGGTTCTCCTTAAAGGTATGTGCAACCATGCCTGAGAGCTTCTGGGCTATTAATAGGGACATGTGTCCACTTCTCTACTCAGCTCCAGCACTCTTTGCAATGCAGACAGGAAACTCAAATGTTCAACATTCTTAGTCATCAGGGAGATGCAAATTAAAATACCTTTAAGATTTCATATTATACCCAACAGAATAGCTAAGATCAGTAAAACAAGTGACAGCTCACTCTGGCCAGGATGTGGAGTGAGGGGAATTCCTGGTTTCTTCAGAAGATGTCATTCTATGCAGCCCAGGCAGACCTGGAGCCCACTACCAGTTTGGTTCTGGCTACTAAAATAAACTTTAATTTTGAATCAGAAACTCAGCCTATAGGATTGTGACAATGTGGCACTTGTACTCTGTTATATCTTAGAATGTGTTTGATTTCCTAAATTTTAAAGCATGCAAGAATAATATTTCCCCAAACCTAGATTTAGCAACTACAGAAATGTCATGTGTCTTCAATTAATTTCATTAAATTTGTCTTGATGATATCTTGTTTACTTTATAAAATTATATTAATTAATCACATATAAATGTCTATTGTATTGCTACTGAGCCATTCAATGCACACTCATGAATGCACACTCATCCACTCACATACTTCATATGCACATATATACGCATGTATATATATATATATGTGTGTGTGTGTGTGTGTGTGTGTGTGTGTGTGTGTGCTCTTTTAAATGAAACTATTCAAATATGTATTCTCAAATTTGTATTTTCTTTATAGAGAGTAATTAACTTTAAAATATAAGCAGAATCAAGATAGCAGTGATTTAGAAACACAGCTCTGTTTACACAATAGACTGCAATTGAGCTTAAAGTAGAGTATCCATTTTCTCATAGAAGCAGTATCTCAGAGATACAGATTTAAGAAATACTAACAGAAAATTCTGAGAAATTACTTGGGAACCTGAAAAGTCACAGCTGAGCAGTCATGCATGACCTGTTGTCATGGTAATGTGATATTTCTAATTCTTGCTAACAGACTCCAGCTATATTATACTACAGATAGTGTGGCATTTACTATCCCACCTAAAATGAATACCTTGATGCTACACTTAGAGTGGCTAGTCAATATAATAGTTTTCTTGAATTAGAATGGAATATTAAAGAAGTCGGTAACATGGCTCAATTTCAGTTCATGTTCAGTGGTCTAATGTCAGGCTTCTCTTCAGCAGTAAGGTAAAGATGATTCAAAGTTGTCAGCAAGTCATGGAATAAAAGGAAAGCAAAGATGAAATAAAGAAAATATCTCCTCTATGATTCATTGTTTTCAATTCATAAATTTGCTTCTACACTTTAAAGTTTAAAGTAAAGCTTCATTTCTGTTTCATTGCATTTTATGTATTTTTGCATTAGTCTATTTTTTGTTTCCATAACAAAATAATGACAGTTAAGTACTTTTTAGAGAAAATAGGTTGATTCAGGTCATAATTCTGGAGAACTGATAGCATGGCGCTAGCTTTAGTATCTGGAGAGGGCCCTGTGCTTAATAGTATCATGCAACCAGAGCTGATAGGAGACAAGTTATATAGCGAGACATGAAACAAGGGGTTATACCAAGATATTGAAGAAAATCACTTTAAGAACCATTTCCATACTAATTAAATATGTACTTAAAGTGGGAGCTCACTTACTACCCAGAGGAGAAAAGGATTATTCCTTCTCAACCATGTGATTATACCTTACAAGCCGTACCCCCTCTATCATCACAGTAAGGTCCATGGCATCACATCAAAGCTTCAACTAATATGTCATCTCTGTTTAGTACATTTAGATACTTTGGAGTTAAAAGAGAGATTTTCTTAATTATTTAATATTCATTGGAAAGACAAAAACAAAGGTAAAATGATTAATCTGCAAATATCATCTATTTAACCCATGACAGAAAAAGCCTAAACACTGATATTTCATAGTTTCCACTCAAATGTGCTTTCAAAAATCACAATATTTAAGCCGGGCGGTGGTGGCGCATGCCTTTAATCCCAGCACTCGGGAGGCAGAGCCAGTCGGATCTCTGTGAGTTCGAGGCCAGCCTGGGCTACCAAGTAAGCTCCAGGAAAGGCACAAATCTACGCAGAGAAACCCTGTCTCAAAAAACCTAAAAAAAAAAAAAAAATCACAATATTTAATGTTAGTGACTCTGGGAACTGACAAAAGCTATTAAAAATGAAGAGAGAGATGTGACAGATGAAAATGGAATAAAAAGCAGGGATGCTAAGGGGATGAAGAGGAAAGAGTGATGCTAGATTTGACCACAACATATTACATGCATGCATAAAAATCTCAAACAATAAAAATGTTAACAATGAAGAAAAGAAGGCTTGATCTGTTTGGGAGGCATCCAGGCAGTGGGACCGGGTCCTGTGCTCATTGCATGAGTTGGCTGTTTCAAACTTGGGGTTTATGCAGGGTCCCTTGGCTCAGCCTGGGAGGAGGAGACTGGACCTGCCTGGACTGAGTCTACCAGGTTGATCTCAGTCATCGGGGGATGCTTTGCCCTGGAGGAGGTGGGAATGGGGGGTTGGCTGGGGAGAAGGGGAGGGGGCGGGAGTGGGGAGAACAAGGGAATCCGTGGCTGATATGTAGAACTGAATTGTATTGTAAAATAAACTTTTTAAAAAAAGAAAGAAAAAAGGAAGCTGTTGAAACCATAGGTTTATTTCTTCCAGAAAATTAAATTGAACTTTTTCAGGGAATATCCACAAGTTATACACTCAGATTCAAAGATACCTAGCAGGATCCCAAAAGAAAGAGAACATGTTTTGCTTGTTTTCCTAAGTCTAGGTTGTTTCATGCAGTATAACGTATTCACTTTCATTAATTGATTTGAAAATTTAACCTAATACTTTCACTTTTATTTAGGTCTGGAGTGAATTCCATTCTATGTATGTACAATATTTTTACTGTTTTCATGAACTGATCAACTTCTAAACCACTTCCATTTCTTAGCTATTGTGAATGTCCTATGAACTGTAACAATGACAAGTTTGGCAAAATATTCCTAATTGCACAATAGTCACACTTACAGCTTGGAAAAACACTACAGCTATTCAATTTGACTTAAGACCTTCTCAACCTTAGATACAGTAATCTAGCTCACTACCCATAGCTTGAGAGGCCACAGACCCTAAGCCACTCTAGCTTCTCTGCTCTGTACATTTATCATTATGCCCACAGGTAAGTGTAGATCACAATTAGAGAAGATTCTTTTTGCAGCAGGCACTTCACTGCAAATTTCCACAACTGGTCAATATGAAGAAAATAGATGAGTGTGAGAAGCTCAGACCCAATTAGTCTTCTACAACACAATCTCTACACGTTAAGTTTCAGGCAACAGCTTAGAAGAGGATGTAAAAAGATTGTAAAAGACAGAGGACAAGGGTTCCTGCTATAATATAGACATGACAGCTGTGCAATTGTGGAATATCAACAATGTGGCTGCATGAACAAACTTCCATAATGACAATGCTACTTCTACCTCTAGATGAAAATTTATATGAAGTCATTATATTCCCTGCTAAAGAAGAAGAACCTGTTTTTTAAAATTATTTATTTATTTATTTATTTACCCACAGGCAAAACCCCTGATAATTTACCCAAAACCAAGTGGTCAAGTGCTCAGCCCTAAACACGTGCCTTAGAACAGCATTCAAAGATCTCAGTAGGGGTTTGTGTGTGTGTGTGTGTATCTGTGTGAGATTACAAGAGAAGATATGAACCTGGGATGTCAGATAGGAA